TTGTATAGACTAAGGCACTCTTACCTTAATTACTATGTATCACCTAAATTTTTCTATAACTCCCACTCTTAGTATTTCGAGTGCTCACAAGAATCCCATAAATCCGACCTCAAAATATTAATGGAGGATTTCAACGTGTCACTAACTTACTCTCACTCAAATTACCTCTACAACTACCATCGCCAACATTTTGAGGAGTCGCAAGAATCCCATAAATCCGATCTCGAAATATTACTGGAGGATTACAATACAATGCTAACTTATCCTCAACCAAATTTCTTCTACAATCACCACGCACAATATTTTAAGGAGTCACAAGAATCCCAAAATTCCACTCTCGAAACATTAATGGAGGATCTTATTGTGACACTAACTCGCTATAGGATAAAATCTATAATGACAGAGCGCTATGTGGAGACACAAAATGTGACGCTAGCTCACTTTTGAAACAACCGGCTGAAAATCATCAAACAATGAAGTCACTAGCGAACGTATTTTATCCACATGAAGGGAAAGGTAAACATCGAGAAAACTTGAGAAGGGAGAAGTCACAGTCTTGCGACCTAGAGATCGGGTAAGGGAGTCTATTACGCGAGGGCAAGGTATTAGCACCTCACACACTCGTAGTACTCTTTGTTATCCACTCTTGTTATATATCTTATGGGTGTGCTTAATTTATGCTTACTTCTTATTACTGAGGAAGAATGCATGCAAAAGAAATGAGAAAATAATGTAGGGAAAATAAATTTGTACTCGATTGGGCCATACCATAATGCCTAAGTATCCTTTTTGAGGAACCATATTTACCGTAGTTTGGCTCTCATATTTTTGTTTGTTTATGTTTTTTACGAACAATATTAATTCTACCTTCGACCGCAGCTCGACCTTTGGAGACTTATGCATTGGCACAAAAGTAAATTAACATGTCCTTACTTGAAAATGGTTTTGAGTTACACCCTCAAGGCAAGATACCACGTATGATTGGTTTGTGGTTTGTTACCTTGAAAAAGGGTTTAAGTATGCTCAAGATGTTTTATGATTTGCTAAGAAATTTTTTTTTAGTTTTAATGCATATGCAAAATGGGAAGAAAAGAGTCTACGAGAGACTAGCTTATTTCTAATCCTAATGTTATTATACAATGGTGGTCCTAAAGTTTGGGTTGATAAAAGGGAAACGTCTACCTAATGTTAGTATACACGGTTTACAACCTAAGGTCTAACTTACATCCGAAAGGAACAAGCACATCCTAAGGGAATATGGTAGAGAAAGCAAGTGAGCAAACAAGCTCGAAAGAGTGCACACATAAAAATGGTAAAAAAAAGAAGCAAAATGCTTTAGTCACGGGGAGCATATCACCTGAGACAAACAAGCGGGAGTGAAATATAAAAGAAGATAAATGCTTTAGCTAATTGGAGAGAATCACCCGAAGCAAACAATTAGGAATAGGATTTAAAACAAAAATGTGATGTCCAAAGCGACTGAACACCTAACAAAGATATATAAGATCGAGATAGGAGACAAAAGGTAACATGAACAATCACAGAGTATCAGCATCGGCCAATGCGAACTCCTGACAAGGTGTGGGGGTTCAATTACGAAACCCTTTTCCACTTGACGACTCGATAACAAGAGTAGGCATAACTCGGAAGCATCGTGGTGCGTCACGAGCTAAGGATGACACGGACGAAATGTGGGGGTTGATTGTGAACCCTTTCTGCTCACCTTCTTTTTAGGAATTATCATTTGTAACATATGCGAGTACAAATGTAAACACACCTACAAAATACCTACACAAAGGTAGGGTTTTAAATAAACTACACACAAGTAGTACACAATGGCAAATAGTGCGGAATTTCCCTAAACGGGTCTTTAAATAAACCAGAAGGGTTCCTGACATGATCAGCAACGAAGACCCATGTCATACATCTCTATTCCTACTTCTCATGGAATCAGAAAGCAGTAAAGTTCCTACTTCTCATGATATCTAAAAAGCGGTAAAGAAATGCGATAAAGTGCGGGAAAATGTAAAAGCAGTAGCGGCGACTACCAAAAGAAAGCGAATCATCGAAAGTGGACGAAAGCAATGAAGAATCAAGGAGTACGCGTCGAGAAAGATTCACCAAGAAATAAACTAAGTCAGAAATGATATCCAACTTAGATAAAAGCAAACGCGTGTTGCGAAGGCAACGCGTAATCAGAAATTTCTGCACAAAGTATCATAAAATATCACATACATCTGTAAAACAAATAATATGATATGAATTTCTTAGGACAATGAGAGGTAAGGCATGTCGCATCAGAAGAGATCATAAGTCGTATGCTTCAATCACATAACAACTTGTTATATTACATGATCGAAAGCACCAAAATGTACCTTGCATAATGAACAAACGCATCAAAAATAACGAGGCAAAACGGTGTAAAATATGAACAAAAACTAATAGAAAAAAGTATCTTTTTATTAGTTTTTTTGTGTGAGGAAAATTTTATCAAAACTAAAGAATTAATTCCTAAAATCAACTAAGAAGTTTTAACAAGTTTTATTGATTTTATACTTTTTTATCATAACAAAAATATAGATAAAATTAAACTAAAAGAAAAAAAAACTAAAACAATTAGAAAAAGTCAGGGGGTGAAAATTATAGTTCAGGGGGTGTAGAAGAAAAAGCCGAAACTAGGACTCTAGGCCTAACAACAATAGTCCATAATGATGTTTTTTGTTCACTTGGCTTTAACATGCCAAAAATGATGGTAATGGGCCTAGGAGAAATGCAGTGAACCTAAAGCTCTTTCACTCAAATCCAACAACAACACCTAAATTTTTATTTCTGCATCAAAGCTTCAGGTCCCAAAAAAGCTATTAGGCTTAGGCATAAAATGCAACTCGGCCCAGTAACTAACCTCAATCCAACATAGACCAATTCTTTTTTAACTTAGTCAGCTTCATTTATTTGATTATAAAAAAATGATAGAATTAAACAGAAGGAATGAGAAGAAATGGGAACAATGTCGCTTAATCATGTCATTAGCGTAAAAGCAAAGTGACAGCTCAGCTCATTCTCCTTCACAAACTAAAATCGGCATTCTCCTTCAATCATCGCCTTCTCATCAGAGTGATTTTCGGAGACAAAGCTTCATTATTTAACCGTCTCTATGATTCAAATCTGATCTTCTTTTCCTCTAATTATCACCCTACACATCTAAATCCAACATTATACGCAAACCCTAAAACTCTGAAAAACTGCAGTTACATGAAGATGAAGGCGATGCTGCCTCAGTGACCATGGGGGAAACATTTATGGTCCCTCACTCTATATCATGGTAGGAAGCATATGCCGAAAGAGGATGAAGAAAAGACGATAGAAGCTTACCTTCCGGAAGTGAACTCCGGTGGTTCTTGGCTTTGGAGAACAAAATCTAGAGAACTCAGAGAAGACGAAGGTAATACTCCAAACCTTCCGCTTCTCCTTTGTTAAACTTTCCTCTACTTCCTTTTCTGGTGCGTCTTGGAAAAATGAAGATGATGACGATAGTTGTTATGTTGTTGTAGAAGCGTTATACTATTATTGTGATTTGCATAGATGAAAATGCAAAGATGATGAAGGTTGAAGTGGCCATAGATTCGTGATGAATTTGCAGAAGATGATAGAGTGGAATTCGGTTGAAGATGAACGCATGTTGATGAAGATATAAGAGTGTGGATAAAGATTTGTTTCAGAGAGAGTAGAGAGATTTTTTCAGAACTTTGGTGATTCTCCTCTGGTTCAAGCCCAAAGCAATTGAGGGAGATTTCTGTTATATCCTGTGAAGTTTGTTACAAGTAAGTAATCTCAGCCTTTGGCTTCTGAATTTCTGTTATAGATTGACAGAGGAGATTGAAATTGATAGGTTGAGCTGGAAAATAATTATGCGGTTGGTTAGAGGTTTTGATTTTCTGTTATAACTGAGAAGTTTTGTTAGGATTGAATTTGTTAGTTAGTAGAAGTTAGTTATACAGTTTCTGTTGCAAATTAGTCAGTTAGGTTTTTTTGTTATAGATCTCTGCTATAAATTTGTTAGAAGTAGTTAGGAGGTTAGAGCTGAGCTGGAATTCGGTTAGATGTTAGTTGAAATCTATTTTTTTTGTTAGTTCTGTTACTCTCCTGATTTTCTGATATGTGCAGGGCACAATATTTTTTCTCGTTGAATTTCAAACTCATATTCCCTCTCTTTTATGCTAAACTGAATTTATCTTCTATTTTGTCTTACTCTGAGTTAATGGTGTTTCTAATTTTCTGAGTTTTGAACTCACGGTTCCTCCCTTTCTTTTTCTTTGTAGCAGGGCACAGTCAATATGGGAGTTAATATCCAGTTCATCACAGCTAGTGTAAGGGTAAAGGAAAATTGATTATTCATTCAACCATTCCCTGTATAACAGTAATAAGACCGTCCAAAGTAAGAATATGCATCACAGACAATGGACAGATCACAGGAAATGCACCTCTGCACAACAAATTAGTGAGGTCACTCTTGTTGCTGGTATGAAGCCCCATATCTACTTTGTGCAGGTCTCAAAATGACACAAGAAAAAAATGCTTCTAACTGCAATTTGGGTTTTGTACGAAGATAATGATAAAGATTGAGAACAATACTACACACCATTAAAAGTATGAGTAGAATCATTGACAACCCACATTGCATCATGATCTTACCAGATCAGACTTGGACCGTCACAGTTGGCTCGAACTGGATTTGAATGAGATGGGGGGTACCTACAAGACACTCCGATGATAAAATGAGAGACAGAATCAGCAGGCAAAAAGTATGTAGGTGTGTAATGAATGAATACCTGACCCTCTTGGAACATAGGGTATTTATAGCCCCAGCGTTGGGCCAAGGTCCCCCCATTGGGCCGACCAGAACTGACCCAATAAAGGGACTGCCAGGTTCTACGTGTGCAGTGGGGACCCGCACGTGGTCCCCTTCCTGGATGGTGCTCTACGAAGAATGAGGAAGGACGAAGACACGGTCTTTTCGGGGCTTTAAGGATCCCGTAGCGTTCGGAGGGGACAAAATCTGCCCTACGGGGAGGATGCTCGAGCAAGACTCGAGCTGGAGTGCCCTTGGTCGGGGACGCTACTCGTTACGGGTAACGGCGGGCATTGCCACTAGGGTCTGTGGTCGGGCACGTTTGGGATGGTCTGATTATGAGCACTCCCCGAGGAGCTGCCTGGATCTGGGCCTTTATTTGCACTTTGGGCCAAGGCGGGCCCAGTCCAGAACAAGAGCCCCCCAAGTCGTTGTTCCTGGGACAGGAGTTATGACTTGATCTTAGCTTGCTTTTTTCGCAGGGACCCAATGCCCGACCCGTGGCTTTGCCTTTCGAAGCGTGCTCGAGAAATCTCGCAGGGATCTCTGGGCTGCATCTGACGGACACGTGGCATAGTCCTTGGGAACTGCAACTCCGCCCTAGTAAATAGGGTCATCATTGCCTAGGCGGGTAGGTGTCGAGGATGGTGGAAGTTCGTGTCTCCCCGGTGCGACGTTTCACATTCCATGTCATCTCTATAAATAGGACCCTTGGGCCCATAATCTATTTCTCCTCTTCACGCTCCTCCTTATTTCTCTGTTTCCACAGTCGTTGGTTCCCGTAACGCCGTTGAGACCGCCACACTGTTCGTCGTTGATTACTCCAACCACCATTGTTTGTACTCCTCTTCTTCCAAGTAAGTGTCCCTTCCTCCTGTTTCTCTGTGTTGTAGATAGCTTTGATGATACTTTTGATACTAGAAACCTGTATTTGGAAGTAATGCCCGGTAGATTTAAGCGCGCTAGGCGCCTGATTCATGAATGTGCTCGAGATATTCATAGTTTTAGGCATATAATTCATGATATTGCCCGTGATACTCATGCGTTTGGTCGACATACTCATGAACTGGTCGGGATATTCATCCTTTTTTAGGAAGTATGTAGGGTAGTCTCCTCGCAGTATTCTAGTGTCAGGTAGGCGAAGTCAGGAACTTGGTCGCGTGATTCGTGATTCGCCCGGGGCGTTCATGTTACGCTCGTGCTATCCATGGTTGATGCATGGTCGGAGCTGGGGTGTCGGTGTTCGGCTTTAGTTTCGATCTGAGTGTTGTGTACTTCTTCCTGCCTTTGTGGCAGGCACGCGGATTTGCTGTCGAATTCACCAGTTTCCTATGCTTTGCAGGTAAATGGCCGATAATCCGGAATCCTCGAGACATAATGAGGTCGAGGAAGCAAGTACAAAAGAGAACGTTACCTTGGTCGACACCATTGATGACCCTACGCTAAACTGGGTGGGCGCTGAGCCCCGGGGAATTGCTTCGGCGTACTGCCATCGTAGTCGACGAGCTTATACCGTCGTTGAGCACGGCGGCACTCAGGAAGGTTTTCAAAAGAATTTTAGAATAACGAGGTCGATGATTGACGCCCATATCTGCTCGGAGTTCACTGAATATGAATTCTCTATGTAGGAGATTGTATTCAGGGATCTCGGTCTTAGGCTGCCTTTTAGTGACTTTCAAGTTGGGGTGTTCAGTCATCTGAACCTGGCCCCCTCGCAGCTCCACCCCAACGCGATCGCCTTCCTCCGGGCGTTCGAGCTGACCTGCCGTTTCTTGAGAATTGGGGCGACGATTCCCCTTTTCTTCATGGTTTTTCATCTACAACGTCAGTCTCGAGGAGGCAAACACAACTGGGTATCCCTTAAACAGTCGAAGAGACTGTTTAGGATGTACATGGACTCGGTGAGGGATTTCAAAAATAAATGGTACGTGTTGCAGCCGACCACCCAAACGGCCCTGGATTCTCTATTCGAATTGGAAACTATGGTGGTCGACGGGGACGGGGAGCCCCTTGTGGATGCTGAGGGTAGTCCCGCAGTCGGGCGGATCTCCAGGTTCCCAATCCATTGGTGCTCGGGTCATTATGAGCAAGGCACCGAGCACTATCATACCCCTGTGGGGAGCATGAGTGTCGAGGATGACGAGGCCTGTGTTGTCCTTTGCAAGTTTGTTGATGGCTTTTTCCCTGCCCGGTGGGTCACGAGGGAAGGGGGTGATATTCTTGATGAGGATGGCTACCCGACGTTCTAGGCGCACCATATCAATACCAAGGCGCTCGTCGAATTCCAATCCTACGGGCAGGCCGTAGATCTCTTAGGTTTCTTGCTTCTGCTCTTGTTATTCCATTTTCATTGCCTTTAATCGCTTGTAGCTAACCGGGGTTCGCTATCCTTTGCAGGTCACACGGCAGAACGTCGAGAGAGGCTGTTGAAGTTGACCCAGGACAAAAAGATAAGCAAGAGGCTGGTGAGGGCACCGCAGGCCACGCGGATGGGCCCGCCAGCTGGTTCAAGAGGAGATGCATCCAGTGGGTCCTTAGGCTCTCCCAATGCCGAGCAACAGACCGAGCTGGTTGGCAGGAAGGGAGGTCGGACAGAGAGCAGAGCGGAAACTGGCGATGAGCCCGTAGCTGCCCGGGCCTTTGGCTTACCGCCCTGCTTTGCAGAAAAGGATTTCTTCGAGGGGTTTCCTCTGACAGTGTCTGATAACGAGGCCGACATTATTAAACGGCTCGACAAAGAAGGCCGGAGGAAACACCTCGCCACCAGCATGGTCGGTGTAGTGAAGATGTCCGAGATGGTTGTGGTCCTTGCAGGGGAAGGATCAGATTCCTCGGACTGTGTTAGGGAGTTAGAAACAGAGAAGGCTGCTTTCGCTGCCAAATCTCGCAAGTTAAAGGCGGATCTCGAGCGGTTCGAGGAGATGTTGCGTGAGCAGGCCGACCTGCAGTCAGGGGAGAAGGAAAAGACCGCGAAGGCTTCCGAGGAGAGGGATTGCCTCCAACTTGACAAGGAACGGTTGGAGAGCGACAACCAACAGTTTTCCAAGGAAATCGAGGAGCTAAAAGCTGCTATACTTCCTGCTGATGACGATCCAGAGGAGATAGCGTCTTTGCGCACCCATTCAGATTTGGTTGCTTGTATCCACCTTCTCGAGTCAGACTGCGTCGGTGCCCTAGCCGACGAGTTCGAGGCCGCGGTCAGTCAGCTATCCGTCCTAAATCCTGGCATGAACACCGAGGGAGTCGGGTTTCTGTCCCAGATTATTGATGGTCAGGTTGTGCCTCCTTCTAAGTCTCCTGATGTAGATGCCGGTAGTCCTGGGGATGTTTAGCATCAAGTTATTGTTTGGGCCTGCATGCCCGTTGTTAGCTGGCTATTTCAAATAAAGAAGAAACCACTATCAAAACAATATTTCGAATAAGCACCCAAGGAGGTTGATATCAAAGTTGAATATTGGTGGGAAATATAGAACCATTGTTCTAAAGGACTCTTTGATTTCCAGTGATAGATGATGGATTTTGATTTGGATTTTTTAGTGTTTAAAATATAAAGAGTTCCTTTATGCAAGGGTTCCAGAATTGGAAACGGTCCAGGCAATTGGTTTATTTCGAAACGAAGAAAATTAGTAAAATGCTTCGATTGGCACAGGTTTCGAATTTCAAATAAGAGCGCCATTCTTAGAAGACGCGTGGAAGTCAGTAAACGTATGAAGTCTGCATGCTTCGAACGTGGCATGATTTTAGAGTAGGACCGTTAGGGTCAGGACACTATAAATAGGTGTTTTCATGTTATATTTGGGATGTTGATTTCGTGTACTAAAAAATCTCAAATACTCAAATTATCGTGACTCAAGGGAAACGAGTTAGAAGACAAAATGTACGTATTGAACATCATGATTCTTTACAATTTCAATACAAGTCTTTTCATATTTCGTTCACTTTTACAGTACTTCTGTCCTTAAATCTTTCGATTTCCTTGTATTTCCTTGTTTTACTTGCTTTCACACACATTTTATCTCTTTAGAAACTTCACTCTTACTTTATCCTTTTGTTCAAACACTTCATATTTCTAGAAACTATTATATTCTCAGAAACTCCTTGTCTTTACATGCAAGTATTAAATCTTAAGTCTAATTCGAAGCCTTTCGTTTATACATTTAGTCAGTTTATTTCCATAGACAGTCTTAGAGATATTTCTTAAGAATATCACATCCAACACTAACATACAATATAAATTCATCAAGATAATGGGTATGAACATAGAATTGAGTTATGACACATGTGTCCTAGGATCAATCTAGTCGATCCTGCAAGTAACCAATAATAATCAATAAATTAAAATACTAGTGGTTGTTTACTAGAAATTACTTTAAACACCCGTGTATTGGTTTTTATTTATTTTTGGGGCCTGCGTGCCCGTGCTAATTCTTGATTTCTTTTGGTCGTTGTGCCATAGTTTGTAACCTTGAACATCGTCGGCCTTTTTGGCCAGTTCACTATTAACCTGTTTTGTGCGTATATTTTTCGATGGATGTTTATTTTGCCTTAACCTGCTCGTATCTAGGCTAATGTTCGACTATCATTTTTGTGATGAATATTTTGCTAAATTTTTGTTCTCGAGCGGAGATATCCTTTCAACCCCTTTGATGGATCGACGCACTTCGAAATGTGTCGATTGTGCATAGTGGAGCCCGCATGTCGGACGTATGACCCAGATCAGGGTCCTACGCTCGTGGCGTGAACTGCCCATCGCGAGCTAGGTGTTCTTCCATGTGGGTACTTCAACAATGGAGCTCTATCAAGGTGTCCCTGTCGGGAATTGTCGTTCGGCTTATTGGGTGAACGACGGTATGTCACTTGGGTGGTAGGTCGGGTCTGTACCTCGACCTGCCTACGTGGTCGAGACTTTTCCCTTTGTTGGCTAAGGGTGGATGTTCGACGGTGAAAGTTCTCAGTGGTTGAGGGCTTTAACTATAGTACTGTTTTAGCTTAGCAGCGTTCTAAGGTCGTGGTAATGGTTCTCCGTTTAACTGCTCGAGGTAATATGCCCTGGTGCCTGTAGCACCTTGAACGTCATAGGGTCCTTCCTAGTTTGCGGCTAATTTCCCTTCGCGGGAGTCTTTCTGGTTTCTTTGCAATACTAGGCTACCGATCTGGAACTCGGGTTTGATGAACTTGTCGTCGTGATGCAGGGCTACTCGTTGTTTCAAAGTGGCCTCACGCAGGGATGCCCCCGATCGAATTTCCCCGACCAGATCGAGTTTGTCTCTAAGGGCTTCATCGTTCATTTCCTCGTCGAGGGGCATCTCTGTCCGCCTGGAGGGTTCCCTGATTTCTACGGGAATGACGGCCTCGGTGCCGTATGTTAGTCGAAAAGGGGTTTTGCCCGTCGTCGAATGAGGCGTGGTGCGGTAAGCCCATAAGACGTTGTGTAGTTCCTCGACCCATCCCCTTTTTACTTTGCCTAGCCGGCGTTTGAGTCCTCGCAGGATGACCCTGTTGGCGACCTCGGCTTGCCCGTTGGTTTGGGGATGCTCGACTGAGGTAAAATGTTGTTTGGTCCCGAGTTTGGCGATGAAGCTTCAAAACCCATGGTCGGTGAATTGGGTACCGTTGTTTGTGATCAGCGCCTCCGGGATTCCAAATCGGGCGAGGACGTTTCGTTTGTAGAAGCGGAGGATGTTGTGCGAGGTGATTTTTGCAAGGGCCTCGGCCTTTATCCATTTTGTAAAGTAATCCACGGCCACAATAAGGAACTTGTTTTGGTATGTAACTTGTACGAATGGTCAAAGGATATCCATCCCCCACCAGGCAAATGGCCACGGGGACGATAGTATGCTCAGCTCGTGAGGGGGAGCGAGATGCATATCGGAGTGCCAGCGAAAGTCCTCAGTGGTTGAGGGATTTAGCTATAGTACTGTTTTAGCTTAGCAGCGTTCCAGGGTCGTGGTAACGGTTCTCCGTTTAACTGCTCGAGGTGATATGCCCCAGTGCCTGTAGCGCCTTGAACGCGATAGGGTCCTTCCCAGTTTGCGGCTAATTTCCCTTTGCGGGAGTCTTTTTGGTTTCTTCGCAATACTAGGTTGCCGATCTGGAACTCGTGTTTGATGACCTTGTCGTCGTGACGCAGGGCTACTCATTATTTCAAAGTGGCCTCGCGCAGGGATTCCCCCGATCGAATTTCCTCGACCAGATCGAGTTTGTCTCTAAGGGCTTCATCATTCATTTCCTCGTCGATGGGCATCTCTGTCCGCCTGGAGGGTTCCCTGATTTCTACGGGAATGACGGCCTCGGTGTCGTATGTTAGTCGAAAAGGGGTTTCGCTTATCGTCAAATGGGGCGTGGTGCAGTAAGCCCATAAGACGTTGTGTAGTTCCTCGACCCATCCCCTTTTTGCTTCGCCTAACCGGCGTTTGAGTCCTCGCAGGATGACCCTGTTGGCGGCCTCGGCTTTCCCGTTGGTTTGGGGATGCTCGACTGAGGTAAAATGTTGTTTGGTCCCGAGTTTGGCGACGAAGCTTCGGAACCCATGGTCGGTGAATTGGGTACCGTTGTCTGTGATCAGCACCTTCGGGATTCTAAATCGGGCGAGGACGTTTCGTTTGTAGAAGCGGAGGATGTTGTGCGAGGTGATTTTTGCAAGGGCCTCGACCTCTATCCATTTCATAAAGTAATCCACGACCACAATAAGGAACTTGTTTTGGTATGTCCCTTGTACGAATGGTCTGAGGATATCCATCCCCCACCAGGCAAATGGCCACGGGGACGATAGTATGCTCAGCTCGTGAGGGGGAGCGAGATGCATGTCGGCGTGCTTCTGGCACTTGTCGCACCTCTTGATGTGGTCTTTGGCGTCCTGCTGCATTGTCGGCCAGTAGTACCCCGCTCGTAGAGCCTTCCTTTCTAGGGACTTGCCGCCCATGTGTTGGGCGTTGATCCCTTCGTGTATTTCCCGTAATATCTCGGGGACTGTGGATTCGTCGATGCACTTCAAGAGGGGAATGGAGAATCCCCTGCGGTATAGCTTGTGCTCGAGCACCACGTAGGAGGACGCTCAACATTTGGTCGCGGTCGTCTCTGTCTGGTCTGAAGGGATCTCGCCCTTTGTTAAGAAGTTGAACACCGGGGTCATCCAGCACAAAACGTCTCCGATGGCGTGTACCTCGAAAGGGGTCGAGGTTCTTTCGATGCTTGGGCGCGATAGGGATTTTTGTATGACCGATTTGTTCCCGCCCTTCTTTCTTGTGCTTGCGAGCTTTGAAAGTATGTCGACCCTTGTGTTTTGCTCGCGCGAGACGTGTGATATTTCTGCTCGGTCGAACTTCTTCATGCATTCTTTGACTAATTTCAAGTATTCAATGAGGCTGTTGTTTTTAGCCTGGTAACTCCCTTGGACTTGGGAAGCGACGAGCTGAGAGTCCGTGAAAATTTGCACTTCACGTGCCCCTAGGTCCTCGGCTAACCTCAATACCGCGAGCAGGGCCTCGTACTCTGCTTGGTTGTTTGAAGTCGGAAAGGAGAGGGTGAGTGAGTGCTCGATCACCACGCCCTCCTCGTTCTCTAGGAGGATTCCCGTGCTACTTCCGGATGAGCTGGATGCTCCATCGACGAAGATGATCCACTTGTGCTCTTTTCCTGCGGGGGGTCGTGAGCGGTCATTTCTATGATGAAGTCGGCCATATCCTGTTCCTTTAGGGCTTTCCTGCTCTCGTATTGAATGTCGAACTCAAAGAGTTCCAAGGACCACTTCAACATTCGACCTGCCATGTCAGGTCGTCCTAAGAGCTGCTTTACTGGCTGGTCGGTTCTTACTATGATCGTGTGAGCAAGGAAATAGTGTCTGAGTCTCCTTGACGCATTGACAAGGGCTAGAGCTACCTTCTCTATCTGTTGGTATCTGACCTCGGGCCCTTGCAGTGCTTTGCTCGTAAAGTAGACGGGTTTTTGTCCGTCGGACATTTTGCGAATGAGAGCCGCGCTGACAGCTTCGACCGAGACAGCCTGGTATATGAACAATGGTTCCCCGATGGTGGGCCGTGATAGAAAGGGCGGTTGGGATAGGCTTTGTTTTAGGTGGCGCAACGCCTGTTCACATTCCTCGGTCCATTCGAAGGCTGCCTCCTTGCGAAGGAGCTTGAAGAAGGGGGAGGGCGTGCTGAGCGGATATCGCGACGAAGCGGGATAGCAAGGTGAGCATGCCGTTCATAACTTGTATGGATTTTTTCGACGTGGGTGTCAGGAGGTCGGAGAAGGCTCGACATTTGTCGGGGTTAGCTTCGATTCCTCGTTCTGTCAAGTAAAAACCGAGGAATTTCCCTGCCTTGACCCCGAA